TCTCTCTCTCTCTCTCTCTCTCTCTCTCTCTCTCTCTCTCTCTCTCTGTGTGTGTCTCTGTCTTAAGTTTTTTGTTTTTGTTTGTTTGTTTTTTCTGGATCAGCTTAAAGTAGGTGGTAGATACTATGATCTTTCACCTTAAATAGTTCAACGTGGATACCTAACAGCAAAGATATGCTCCTTTAGCATCATGCAATGATCAAACTTGGTGATCTTTCAACTCTTTCAAAGTCATGTCGAGAATCTTGCTGTCCCCAGTACACAGCTAAATCATACTGTCCAGATTGAGTCGTGCCTGTCCATCAAAGCACCTCAAAGTGTCATCTCTTTGTTTTGTGAGACAGAGTCTCACTCTATAGTCAAGGATGGCCTCAAACTTGGGGGCTGGAGAAATGGCTCCGCAGCTAAGAACATTTGGCCCTCTTCTAGAAGACTAAACTTGATTGCCAGTCTTCACATGGTTGTTTACAGTGTCTTTAACTCCAGTCCCAGGGGATCTAAAGCTCTCTTCTGACCTTTGTGGGGACTTCATGGATGTGCTGCACAGATGTATACACAAGCAAAACATCCATACACACAAATATAAAGAAAACTAGTTTTAAAACCTTCTCAGCTCACTTGATGTCTAAATACAGCATTCTCTGGAGCATCCTAAGGACCAATCAGTCTACGGGATTCCTTTGCAGGAATCTGCTTATAGTTTTATTATTACTCTCTGCAAAAATACTGGTGCTTACAGAAGGGTAGCTGCAGCCAGACATCACCGGACTGAATGAAACACCTCATTAGACACAAGGCAGACATGATGCTGGCTGAGGTGGCTATGGGCAAAATATTCCACATGTGGCTCTCACCCACCCAGAGCCAGAGCCCTCACTCTACCTGGCCCTGCTCGAACTTGTTGGACTTGTCTGACTTCTTCAGGGGCCGCTCCCCTGTGTCCCCGTATTCCTCACCGTAGATGGTCAGGTAGACATTGGCATCAGTGCCAGCCTTGGGCACGTTCCCTGTGATCACCTGGACCTCATAGGTATTGGCTGGAGACACAGAAAGACGCAGCATTGAGAATACAAGATCCACGGGACAGCACTGTGGCCCCTGCCCTCGGATCCAGGGAGGTTCTGGAAGCCAGAAGGTTCTACGGCTACTCCACACCAGCTTACCCTCCTCCCAACCCAAGACTTGTCTTTGCCATGAAATCAAGAGCCAACAGGCCTCCCGCCTCAGCCCCATATTTGGCTATAACAAGGTGTGTGAGCATTCCTCCCAAAGTCAATGTCTTTCCCCTTAACAGGCACAGGTCAAGGGCTGTGCTTAGCTCCAAACAGATGGGGTCAATGGTCACTTTCTGTGTACAGGTCAGGAAAGCTATCTATGAACCACACTGGGGTCCCACCTACTCAGTCTCTACCTAAGGGACATTGAGTCACCTTGCCCCCCCACCCCCCACCAGTCCTTTTAAAGGGAAATATGGCCCCTCGTTTGTTTCAGGCTTACGCTCAGGACCAGGCTGACCAGCTGGAACCAATTCCACGACAAGTTCATTGTCCTCCTTGCCCCGGGCCAGCCAGCGGTTAACATCGAATTTGTACTGCACAATCACCTCCTGCATCCCTGGTCCATACTCCTCTTCCTCCTCCTCCTCCTCGGACTCCTCCTCTTCTTCCTCCTCAGATGAGGACTCTTCTGAGGAGGACTCTTCTTCCTCATCACCCTCCTCCTCCTCATCGCTGCCTTTCTTCTTTTTCTTCTTCTTTCTCTGCAGCTTAGCCTTCAGCCTTTCCTTCTTCAGCAGCTGCCGCAGCTTGTCCTTCTCCTTCTTCTTCCGGGCCTCCTCCTCCGGCGTCAGGTTCTCCTCCTGCACTACCAGGTGCCGTAGCCACACTGTGTCCACAAACCAGCTGGGCCCAAAGCCCTCGCCTGTGTGTCCCAGTCGGATCTTGTAGATCTCACCCACGTCCACCGCTTCCAGCTGTGCAAAGTGCAGGGCAGCAGCTGACATGGCTCCTGCCATCCACCTCCGCACATCCCCCATGAAGCCAGTACTGAGCTGCAGTGTACAGAGGTCTCCCACTATGCCAAGCTCTTCCTCAGGCTTAAGGAATACACTTCTTTCTAACTCTGATGGAGTCAACCTCCATGCTTTGTCTTTCGCCCTTACTCTTTGATCTCGCAGCTCCCTCGCTGTGGCAGGTCTGCTGTTATTCCCATTTTACCCCCAACTCCAACTTGTTAACAGTCCCAGGTCTCAGTATTACCTTAAAAACACACAGACAGAGCCTGGCAGTGGTGGCCTATGCCTTAAATCCCAGCACTCTGGAGGCAGAGGCCAGCCTGGTCTACAATGTGAATTCTTGACAGCCAGGGCTACATAGAGAAACCCTGTCTTGAAAAAACAAACAACAAAAACAAAGCCACCCCCCCAAAAAAAAAATTCCTGTGTCCACTATTAGGAAGATACCATTTTGGCAATAAGTAAAGAAATATGTTTCTTTTTTGTAACAAATAAAACCTTCACCCATTTCCTCAGAGATCTCCATCCTTCCCATTCACCTGGGTTTACCAGATCCTTGAGCTCCAAAGAGCCAAGGACTTAGCTGACTCTGGTCCTGTCCTGTCATCTTGGGGCTCTAGAGCAGCATTGTGATTTGATTACAAAATGCTCCTGCTCTGAACCCTCAGACTCCAGCTGGTGGCACAATCGTGTGAAACCATGAAGGGACAGACTGGCTAGCCGTGGACCTCAGGTTTTACAGCCTGGCCTCATTCCCTGTTGCTCTCTACCTTGCCATTGTAGACACCATGTGACCAGCTGCCCCACTCCTCAGCCTTGCTACAACAGATGCTACCATTAAAGACGAACTGAAATAAATCTGTTTGTCCCTAAGTTTTGTTTTTTCTTTCTTTTCAAGTATTTTGTCACAGTCATGAGGAAAAAAAGTAATGCGCTATGAGTTCCCTTTAAGGACAAGGGCCATCTTTCTGAGTGTCTTCCCACAGGCCTAGTTCATGGTGGCTCATCTTCAACCTCAGTGTCATGGTGTCATGAGTCCCACATCCCCAGGAAGAGGGGATTGAGGCCCAGACTTTGTGGGGAGCCTAGCCTGAAGTCCTTTCTGTCTGGCCCTCCTGTGTACCTTGATATTGAGCCTGTCTTCACATTTGACTCTTTTCAAAATCCAGTCCCACCAGTTATCTCACCTGAGTGCCAAGCATCTGAGGCCTAAGACTATCTCTAGTTACCCAGTGTCCTGCACTTTTATTCCTGACCTTGACAAGAACAAAGGTTTCCCGACTTAGTATTCAGAGCTAACCTGCCTTCATAAGGAAATCATCAAACAAGATGGTGCCTAGGACCTAGGGAAGGCAGAATTTCTCTTTCTTTGTTGCTTAGGGGATGGGACTGGGCACTGTTCAGTTACATTTCTGTGACTGCTCACAGTCCTCATCTCACGCTGAGTCTTACTGCTATGGGTGCTGGGATCCCAGGCAGGCAGTGATTACAAAGCTGGATTACACTGAAGCTGACAAGGTCCTGAAAGGTTGACTACATTGGCTTGGGCCTTCCAGCAGCAGATGAGGACACATGCTCCAGTGAAATCCCTGCACCTGTAATGTTCCAGACATTTGTGAAACTGACTGGGACCCAAGTTCTTTAGCACCTTTCCTGGGTATTCACTGAATACCAAAGTGTTTATGGGACAAAACCACACATGGAATACTCAGCGTGAGCATGTTTCCTCTACACACATCTGCAGATGCACACATATGTGCTTCTACACATATATACACACATGTGCTCTCATGTCCAGCATAGACTCAGGGGCCACTGCATCCTCTTCCCTTGACAGCGATGAGAGCACATTTACATCTTTCTTTTAGCCAAAGACTTACAATGTGAACAGAGGAAGCCCAAGGACATTTAAAAATGCGTTAGCAAACTCTGCCACCTCTCAGGGGCCTTCGCAAGAAATATGGACTCACACTGGCCTGGGAGAAGTTCAGCATCAGAGCTATAGACAAGGAGTAAACAGAGAGACCCAGCCTTGGTGTCATTGCTGGTGGAATAAGAAGTAGTCACTGCAGACTTGACAGTGTATTATAATCACTGACTGAACTTCCAAGAGGAAGTTACCTCAGAGAACACACCCCACTTCCAAAGACTGATTAGCTGGCTTGGGGTGTGGATGAGTCAGCACTTGAAAGGTCACCAGGTAATTCACGTGTGAGACAGGGAACAACTTCTAGTCATTTCAGGCCCCAAAACTCAGATCCAAGATAGAAGTAATCATTCAAGAGCATGGATGAACATCCATGCTTTCTCTTTTCTGTTTCAAAACTCTACCGTCTGCTCATCACTTCCAAGAATCCCTCAGGAGCACAAGGCAATTTCGTTCCATCCATCCTCCAGGAAGCATCTCCCAGGCTGGAGGGAGGCAGCCTATCGTCCAGCCGATGCGATGTACCACCTTAGCAACACCCACATCGCCTACCTCCCACACACCTGGAATGTGTCCTTGGACCCCCGATCAAAAACTTTGGAGCGGCTGGAGAGGAAGAGAACTTCTGTCTTGCCTTCTTCCCCGTAGATCTGCACGTAGACTCGGGAAGTGGTGCCAGCGCCACCCACGTCCCCTGTCCAAATCTCAATCTCGTAGTGGACCACTGGCAGACACGGAAGAAATGGGGTAGTCAGTGATGACAAGAAGGATAGCAACAAGCATTTCCCTAGCCCTTCCCTCACGTGATTCCTAAGCCCATCCCCCATGCCTGATCCTTCACAGGCATCGTCCTATGTGGCCTCCTCAACACAATGAGCCAACGGTTTGCAGATGGACAAACTTAGGCTTAGAGGAATTGGCTTAGAGAAAATGGCGAACCTATGCAATCAGACTGTTGTGTCTAGACATCCATTACAGCACCTGTGTTCTTGGAGACCAGGAATAAGGGGACTTCATGTACCAGCTGGTACTCCCTATTGTCCGCCTGCATGCTAGAGTTTGAACGTTTGTTCCCTCCATATTGAAATCTGATTGCTATTGTAAGATACAGAGGATTTAAGAAGTGATCCTGCCATGAGGGCTCAGCTGTTCTGTTTGAGGCCGAGGGTGTCCCTGTTTTTTCTGTCGCTGTCTGCCATGTTAGAATACATCCAGAAGGCTTTCACCAGATGCCAGAACATTGGGACTGAACTTCTCAGAGTATAGAACTGTAAACCAACTAGCTTGTATTCATTTTATATTATATAGTCTATAATACCATATACCATAGTATTATAGTAATAGTACATTGTAGGGACAAAAACATAAATTATTAAGTTACTGATGCTGGGAAGACACCACAGGGCAAGAAGAAGCAAAAGCTGTATTATTTTCCTTCACGTAATAAGGACAAGAGACTGGAATGACAGTGCTCATTTAAATCGAAGCACTTTTCAGAGTATACCAACACATGCCCTGGATAGAAAAAGTCGTGCATATTTTGAAATGATATTTATCAAGGTGTTAGAGGGTGGTGGAAACATGGTATTGGTGGGTATCCACAGACAGTACTGCAAATAGAGTAGGTGTATCTCCCTAAAAGGCTATGGCACCATGTTGTCTATTGATGTGGCTACTCTAAGACAGTATCCAGATTTCTTTTCAGTTAAAAGAAATTGTGTGTGTGTGTGTGCATGTGTGTGTGTATGTGCCCATCTGTGCGTGTGTGTGTTTGTGTGCATATCTGTGTGTGTGCCTGTCTGTGAGTGTGTGGTGTGTGCGTGTGTGTATGTGTGTGTGTGTCTGTCTGTGAGTGTGTGTGTGTTTGTGTGCATTTCTGTGTGTGTGTGCCTGTCTGTGAGTGTGTGGTGTGTGTGTGTGTGTACTTACATGTCTGTGTGTGTGAACATCTGTGTGTGTGTGCCTGTCTGTGAGTGTGTGTGTATTTGTATGCATGTCTCTGTGTGTGTCTGTCTCTGTGTATGTACACATGTTTCTCTGTATGTGCCTGTCTGTGAGTGTGTGTTTGTGTGTGTATGTGTGTGTATGTGTACATGGAGGGTCATTCTCTACCAATCTCCACCTTAGTTTTTTTGAGACTTAGTCTTTCTCTAAATCTTTAGCTTATCAACTTAGCTAGTTGACTACCTGGCCAGCGAGCCCCAGGAATCCTCTTCCCTCCTCTCTCCCTGACCCACTAGGATGGCAGACATGTACCACCAAACCCAGCTTTTTAATAAGTGCTGAGGATTCTAACACTGGTGGTCATATTTGTTCAGCAAGCACACCCCATTCTGGCTGAGGGAGAGCTGCTTCAGTTTCGAATTGCTCTTAAAGAGAATTCCTGTGAAGAAGGCTGTGGCAGGAAAGCTGCAAGCAGCTGCTCTCAGGAGAGAGATGGAGACACAGTGGCCATAGAAAAAACAATTCACTGTCTTTTCCACCCTCTAAACCTTTGGAAGTCTCCAACCTGCCATGAGGGAGGATTCATATAGACATTGGAAAACTTCTGACACAAGTCCACCCTGACTTCAGCTCCTCACAAAAACCTAGTCACAGAGACACAGGCCTGTGGCAACCTGTCTTATTGCCTTACCACTACCCTGTTACCCGGCTCCACTCTCCGAGTTTCCCCCCTCTCTTAGGCAGTCTGCTCCCTCTCTCACAAGGACAAGGCTTTGTCCTGTTTTTGTTAATAGCTGTCTTCACAGATGCCACAGTAGGATCAGCTAGAGAAACCTCAATAGACATTTACTGAATGAAAAGTCCCACCTCCTCAGCTAGTTTTCCTAAGGAAAGATATAGGCTATGCCCCCAAAATTTTCACAAGGTTGAGAATATACGTTTCCTAACATTTTTGTTTTTATTTTTTCCTCTGTATTTCTCCAGGACAAAAGTTCTATCCCTATGTTTCCCATCTGTGAAATGAAATCTTGTTACCTCCCAGAACCACAGTACTAGAGACAACTGGAAGCCCTCACTTACACCCCAGTGTCTCCTTTCTCCACCATAGAGAGACAAGATTCAATCACCACAAAGTCCCTCTTCCTTCCTTCAATCCCTCCTCCCTCTGATTCCATCACCCCTCTCCCCCCATTAGACAGGGAACCATGCTCAGTGCTGAAGCCCGACCCAGCCTCTTCCATACATTTCTGTATCTCCACCACCTCGCTGGGGTAAAGCTCCACCTCCAGACGCCCATCAGCCTGGTTCTTATCCAGCCACCGGTTAGCGGGGAAGGTGTACTGCTTGCCTTGGCGGGGCACACGGATCTGGACACTGCCCAGGAACCAGCCTGCATGCATGCCTGTGCTGTCATGTCCAATCACCAGCCTGTTGATCTAGAAGGAAACTCCAGGAAGGGTGTGTGAACAGCAGTGTGCAGAGACACACAAGCCTCCACTTCTGTCTCTCTGAATACTGGTGCAAAAATCTCCCCTCAGCTGGGGCCTCCAGCTCCTTAGGAGGAAGCTCTGACTCAGCCTGTCCTGGCAATCAGCAACCTGGGTGCCTGCCTACTTAGGTGATCTTTTCCTGCCCAGAGGCACCATCCCCTCCTCCCTAATGTAACTCACTTCCAAGGTCAGAGGCAGAAGCAAATATCAGGCAGAGTTGGCAAGAACTTTGGAATCTGTTAAGCACTTAAAAATGAGACTGTAGTTTCAGGAGCAGTGAAGTGTGTGCCTGGCAATGGTGGCTGCTTTACTTTGGCTTGATTTGAAGCAATACAGAATTGTGTGCATTTCTGTATCTTTCTTTGTCATTCCCACCCTACAGGGTAAGAGAATTTGCAGACAACCTCTCTGGACATGGTGGTTCCACATCTATTCCTTCTCTTATTCTTGGACCTAAGGAACATTGTTGTCCATCCATTAGCCATCTGCAGTCACTTGCTTTGCTATTTGACACAGCAGCATCTTTGCCCGTAGGCAACAGGAATGAGAGCTCACACGGTCCATCAGCATCCTTATGCGGAGATGGTTTCTCAGGGTTTGAACTGCTTTCGTTTGTGTGGAAATGTTGTACACAGGGTAATTTTAACATTAAAAGAGATTAGCAGATGGCCTCTGGGAACCCTTCCAGCCCCGAGTTTTTCTCAGTAATGCTTTAGAGGGTGACACTAACCTTGTCTGGTACCCACAGTCCACATTTAGAAAATTGTCCGCTCAAGCCCTGGATTCTGCTTCCCCACATCCTAAGTGCCTCTTTGCAGCTGTTGATGAAACACGGATGCAGCTGAGTGTATGGAGCTCGAGGCCCTGAAATTGCTAGGAGAAAACCGCTAAGTTTGTAAAGCCTCAGAGCCTTCAAATGCCCACCCAGGCACAGAGGACAGTGCCATTGTTTCTCTGGGACTGTCAGAGTTCCAGGACTAGGAAGAATAAGGACAAGGGCGGGTGTCTGTTAGCTGACATGACTGGAGGCTCTCTAAGGTCAGGGACTGTCCATCATATATCACCTTGGACTGGAGGGGAATTCTGAGCCCTGGCTACAAGCATGTGGCTGTTATAACATACTTAATACTAATAATAATTCCCATGGCATCTCCATCATCGGAATGAGAACACTGATGAGAAAGGTAAATAACTTGCATGTAGCATGTCAGTGGAAATGCTAGCCCGCCCTCACCCCATCCCCCAAGCTCTTGGCCACAGTATTCATTGAGGGAATTTCACCAACATGAGGACAAGTCTCCATAGCCTTCACCCCTCAACACCTCTCCCCTTACATGCCTAGAAATCCTTCAGTCAAGGGAACAAAATTTTCATTCCACAGTTATTAATTCAGCTTAGAATGTAAATACATTCAAAGTTCGTTAATTTCAAGGGGTAAATGACTGCCACAAGGTCTTTCCCTAGAGTGCAGGTTAGTGAGAGAAGAGAGTTCCAGAGCACCAGAGAGAGGGGGAAGCCCACAGGAGAGGAGGGACAGGGATGGTGAGGTTTCAAAGGGAGCACCCCACCCCAGGACTCATCACGTGAATTTTGGAGATTGGCAGGTGCAATACAGTCCTAGTTCAGACAACATTGAAGGTGTTCCTGGTGCTCCAAATCTTTCATTTAAGCCTGTTTCTCCAGGTGACGTCAAGAAAGAGTCACCTGGTCCAGACCCTAATCAGGCTATTCCTCGACTGAGGGTCAACTTTGGCCTATAGAGACTTAAACAAAACACTAGGAGAGTTTAAGCGACTCAAGGCCACATTCCTAGGATAACCCTCAGCCCCTTACCTGAAAGAACCCAAATGCTGCCAGAACAATTGACTATTGGTTCCAGTCAAGCTGAGTTTTCAGCCAAGCTCCTGGCTCTGGGATCTGGGAGGGTAGAAACCTGATTCTGTCAGATGCCAATCAGCAAACTCAGATGTGTTTCCCATCGTCCAACCTTCTCTGCTCTTTTCAATACCCTAATGCTGTTAGGCTCCTGTAGGCCATCTTCCAACTCCTCCCTCCCAAAATCCCCTGTAAACCTCCATGGAACTCAGCTGAATGCAGTTCACTCCGGCCTCTTTCTTCTTTTTCAGTCTATCACTGATTCATCCACCTTCCCAGTTAGTGGCCAATTTGCTCAGATCACCTAGAGCAAGGTCACATGGAACCTTGAGAAACAAAGACTCTCAAGTGCCGTTTCTCGAGGCAGCATCCCTCAGGAGTGCCCACGAAGTATGCACTTCTGAACACAGTTCAGAAGCACACTCAAATCTGGAACTGAGAAATATTTGTATTCCTTCTTTTGGTCCTTTCTTCTCTCTTTTCCCTCCTTGAATCCAATGTCCCCTCCTCTAGTATCTATGCTATATCTATACTAATCCTGGCACGTAGGTGAAAATGTTGGAGTGGGTAAAGTTACTAAAAATGTGCATTACAGTCCCAAAGAGATTCTTGAAGCACAACTACTGCCCATGTATCCACAGCTGCTCTGGCCATGGGGGAAGTGAAAAACCTCACTAACAACCCCTAAGTGTGCAGTTATTTTCCTTCAAAACAGGTTCACCACGTGCATGCACATCAGTGAACGCATATGGATCAATGTAGGAACATGAGTCAAGGATGGACACTTACAGTTCCAATGTTCAGGGTCTCCAGAGTAAACTCATCTACTCGGCCACGTTCAAAGTAGTCTTTTAGGTTGTTGTCAGAGACAAGAAGAACCTGTTTGATGGTGTCAGATTTCTCTCCATAGAGTTTGATGTATACCCGAGAATCTGTGCTGGCCCCAGAGACATCCCCAGTCTTCACGCTGATGTGATAGCGGAAATCTGAACATGCCAATGTAGAGAGAGATGGTGAAGTTAGTGCGGGTTGTACAAGGAGCAAGGTGTTGGAAAAGAGGGGGCAATCTTCAGCCAGAAAACGTCCAGGCTAGGAGCCAGGACCCTGGAGTCTGGAACCTGGGTCTTGTAGCTGGGAGTAGAGGTTCCCTCCATCTCTGTGGAGACCCCTCATCTATAAACCAGGGCCCCTCCACTTCCTGTTCTATGAGAGATGAATTTACTGAGAATGAGAAAGTAAATTTTAGACAAGAGTGCACACATTTTCAGAGACTCAGAGCATCTCCAGAAATCGCCTGATCTAGCTTCTGATGGGCATGGAACTGTTAACAAAGACAAAAGAGCTTTCTAGTATTTATCACATTGGGTGCACATTCTATGGTATTACTGCAAGTGCTCTCAGCCAAGCATTGCAAGCAAGGAATGCAAAGCTCTGAGGGTCAGGTGTTTGACACCAGATGGTGACAATGAAGTCATCCAGTTAAACCTTGCTAGGCATTTAAAGCTACTCCCTCCCCTAGTAGGATACTAAGTAATGTCCCAGTTTATCTCCCAGAAATCTCTGCACCATCCTGTGTGAAAGGATAAAGAACACCAAAGGAAGTCCTATCACTCATTGCTTCTTTAGGGTCTTCCCAGTGGGATAAAGGGTCTGGAGAAAATGAGCTGAGACCCTATGACTGAGGCAATCTACAGCAGACCTAGCCCTGACAGATCCGCTCCACCAGGGACATCCACGGACACTGGGAGAAAAGAGGGGGAAATCTTTTTTCTACAACAATCATTTTGCTGTTGAAAGATGCGCAAGAACCAGAAACCTTCTTCTTCCTTATGCCCCTTTCTATATAAACCTTTCCAAGGCTGTGACTAGGAGAGCAGGAGGGTTGGGCCTCATCTACGTGGTGAGATGAGAGCCTGATCTACGTGGTGAGATGCAGGGGGAAGAACAACCGTCTAAGGTAGAGATGCTCTGAGAACTGAACCCAGTTCCATCAGCAACCACAGGTGTGGGTGTTCTGATCATGGTGTGACCTCTTATCATAAGCATGGGTGAGCTCGCCTCTCTAGCTCCTTCCCAGGTTTTAGGATCTGTGATGTTGAACCCAGACACTGGATATTCTAGTTCCAACTGTGTGATGTGACCTTAGCAAATATAAGTATCTAGGTCTTCTAGACCTTGCTTTCCCTGTGTGACAAATGGACAGCCTCATCTCTGCCTCCCATCTGGGGTTTGTTGCTGGGCTCAGATGAGTTCCACTCTGAAAACATGAAGAGCTGCATTGTGGGGATTCTAGGGGTACGTTTCATTTAAATGTTATCTAAAGCTCACGATCAAACCATGGCATTTGAGCACATATCATTAGTAAGGAGACCTCCAGGGTTCCGGGACAATGCTCAGCATCTAAAAGGCCTCATTCAACAGTCCCTTCAAAATGCACTAATGCCCAAAAGCAGGGGTCCCTGTTCTTGATGCTATCAGCTGGTGTTATTGTTTTTATTACTCCATTGACCTATATACATTCAGGGGCTAACACCATGTCACACTTGGGCTGTGTGTTTAAGCACAGACATTCGAGAAGTTTCCAGATCACCAACACCTCGTTTCTCCACCACCCTGTGCTGCTTTCATGAAGTAAAGTGAAGACATGTCTAAAGATCTAGGTCCTGTTCAACTAAGGAAAGACAACTGTCATGCCCAGTGAACACCCACCACTGGGACATCAGGACAACTCACTCTTGAGGGTGGCATTGCTGTCACTGGGTAGCAACTCTCGGACCAGCTGTCCATCATCCTTGTCTTTGTCCAGCCACCTTGAGAGAAGGGAGATAGGAGTTTAGTTTTTGAGTAGAACAGGCAGATACTCCAACCATAATATCCCTCATGCAGGAGCACCAGGAAGGCCCAGAGCTTTGAGTTCATCAGAAGAGAGTAGGTCTCTGAGATCTCCTAGCAAAGTATTGCAACCCAAACCTGGAGAGGAAGAGTTTCTGGAGAAGGCTGAGTGCTGACTGAGACTAGAAAGATGACAAGATGCTGGGCAGAGAGACAGAGGGAAGGAGAAAGAGAGAGAGAGAGAGAGAGAGAGAGAGAGAGAGAGAGAGAGAGAGAGAGAGGAAGGAAGAGAGGAGCATCCCAATGGAAAAACATATCCTGGGTTGGACGTTAGAGGTTGGTGAAAGGCCCCACATAGACAGAATGCAGCAAGCGAGCGACAGAGTTGCTAGCAAATGAGGATGGGTAAGAACAGGCCATAGAATTGTGAGAAAAGGCTACTGTTGTCAGATACATCTCCAGGTCAACTGTATATGTGGAGCTGTGACAAGAGTTCTCTATTGGAGAAAGCAGAAACAGAGGCTGTTAGGATAACATAGCTCAGGCTGCTGAAAGCCTACAGTATGACCAAGAAGAAAGGATAGGGCAAACGAGGCACTGAGGGCAGAGTTGAACCGATTCTGTGCTATAAGGATTAAAGAGAGGGCAACTTGTGGTGGGGAGGTTGAACTGGAATCTTCAAAAATAGGTGAGGTATGACTTCAGGAAAGGTAGGCCTGAGGTAGGTCTTCAGGCTACGTTGATATCTATGCCTTATCTACAAGTCATAGTAAGCAGTGGTTCCAGCCCTCTGTTGGCATCCCCCAGAGGAAGGAATGGGGAATTTCTTCCTACAAGATACGTTTCCCTTAGAACACCAAGGCCAAGCTCGAGAAACAAACTTATTGTACAAGCATGACTTGTCTACAACCCATAGGTAGGCTGGTTGGCAACCTAGTGCTGATCACTGTTCTCTAAGTCTGACTTCTTAAGCTGTGGGTCATGAACTTACAGGGAACCATGCAACTGAATGTGGGAGCTGTGAAACTCAGGCAGCAGTAAAGAGACTCTGATGAACAACGACCCAACTTACTTAAAGAAAAAAGGGTAATAAATCCAAGGTGGCAGTGTTCGCCTGTGCTGTGTGGGGTAACTTCACTACAGCCTAGGCTCCAAGCCTACAGCATGCACCCTGTTCCTGCACATGTCATCACAGATAATAACACATAAAACACCGGGGCAACCCTGAAGCTCCTTGGCCCTGATTTGAGAGCATTATATAATCATAGTATATGCTATGATTTACAGTGTTTTTATTGCACATACAATTTTTTCTGCTCTTATAAAAACATAATGGTTTCATCCATCAACATAAATATTTTTAATATTTTCCTAGTATCGTTTCTCAGTAATAGGCCAGATTAGTACATATTTGGATGTTGTTGAACTATAATATTTAATTTTTATAATTATTGTTTGAGTTTCTGACTTGAGTTTGACTTAAAGATTATCAAATGAATGTTGATTTCCAACAACTTCTGAAATAATCCTATGTATCCTTCTGCCATTTTGTCCTATATATCTGTACAAAGCAGGGATGTCAATATTGACAGTTAGAAAATCGAGACATCCATCAACTCTTAAAATATTGAAGGTACTCTACCTTCTGTAGGATCAAACATTCAGACAATATGCAACATTTTCTGTAAAAAATCAACCAACATGTCCACCTCAATATAAATTACATAATTAATTTTAAAAACAACTAAAAACTGATTTTGTCTCTAATGAATGGTTAAAATTATATGTATATCAAAGGGCTATCTTACAACAGATTTCTTTATAATTTATTATCCTTAATCTTGCATTTGTATAGATATTTTATTGATCTAGACACCCAGTCTCACATATACATTTCTTAGGCAAGAAGGGACCATGATGGGGAAAACTTTAAGAACTTCTCATGGAAAAGAATTGCAGAAACCAAGTCTATTTTGTTTTGGCAGGACATCTCCCTGTGTTATGCCCTGTGCTTGTCTTCAAAACCCTTCCCATTCACACCCCTGAGCAAGGAGAGCTCTCCAGGTCTGTGATGATGAAATAGTCATTATAGTAAAGATATTTCTTACATTCTAAGAGACTGGAACTTTTGCTGGCCCTCACAGACTGGGTTAATAGTACACACCCTGAGGTCAGAGAAGACCTACTATCCTACTGTGTATAAGACTGCTGCCCTACTATGCCCACTCACTTAACTTATCTTTAAGAAAACAATGCAAAACAACCTTTCTTGCTATGGATTTCCCACTAACTCTTCCAATAGTTGTAATCTTAAGTTATTGATTCTTTCATGCTGCTGGCCCAAGAAGTAATACGTGTGTGTTTATATGTGCGAATGTTACAATAATTATTTGCTGAAAACAAAAAATAGGCTGAAAGCAGCCTTATAGAATTAATATCCACTGTAAGTGCTGGAAGCCGCACTTGGACATGTGGCTTGGTAGTGTTTGGTTGTTATTGGGGTCAGCTGGGGTCAATGACTTAATCCCCTGTAAAACTCTGTATCCCTCAGTCCTTACTCATGTAATGCTTTCTTTGCTGTTAAATAAAAGAGAGAGCAAAGCCCTGTGCTAGGGACATGCAGACTCAGAGCAGGGGACAGACAAGTTCACAAGACTTCAGTATTCAGGCAGGCACAGATGCAAACTCACACAACAGACAACAACAACAGCATATACTGGAGAAATAAAGAACTCAAATAGGGCCCTCCCTGGGTTAAATTTGACCAATGGCAGGCTTTTGAATTTATACTCTTTAATGATCCACCTGTGCACTATTGGTGACTGAGTTCGCCATTAATGAAGTCAAACTGGCACAGGAGCCAACGAGGGAAGCCAAGGCTCTCCTTCCTCCCCACACGCAGCTCAGGACCTGAAGCGCTAGCGAGGCATGTGCTTTTCATCTCTTTTTATCTATCACATACCTGAAGCCCAAGGGCTCCCACTCCCTGGGGACCTCGCTGTCAGCTTGTATTAGCCAACACTAAAATGCCATTCACTTATGTGGGCTTTTGGGCTGCGACTCAGAACACTGGAGAGATGAAGCAGAGACTCCAAGACACAACGATTCATAGTGGCATCCTAAGCATTGGTGGCACGGGATTTGGGAACCATAAACTGCTAGCTACAGTCTCTTAAACTGAGCCATTGGTGCTTTCTGTGTCTCTGTCTTGTCAAGGTCACTGGCAGCTCCCATAGTCACAGAGCCTGCAGGAAGTATGGCAGGGACATTGCCATGGACAGAAGCAGATAGGTCACCAGCCTTCAGAAGATCCCACCTGTTGTTCCTTGTCCCCTCTGTTCACCTAGTCCCAGTCCCTCCCAGTTGGTAACAGGAAACCATGACACATCTTTTTGTTGTTACCTAAATACTTCTGAGGTATTAATAGACGTAGTTTTGAAAAGCTATTTCCTTTCAGCCCAAATGTTTCAACCTAGTTCTGCCATGAGGTGTTGCTAAATAGATGTTAGCACGCTGGTAGCTTCATGACTGTCTCCCAGGTTGATAAGAGTATGCACACACCACACCACACACACAGACACACACACACACACAGACACACACACACACACACACACACACACACACACACACACACTGCTTTCCCCTCCCTACTATAAGAGTTAAGCAGCTCCGGTGAAGAATGGATCAGTGTGTGGGCTCTGGCCCCAGGTTAATCACTGTGCTGCTCCCAGGAATTGACACAGGAGAATGAGGAACAGTGGGGTTTCACAAAACACTGATACTTGTCCTTGTTCTAAAATGTCTCCCTTGACGACTTTAGAGATCTCCAGGAGCTGTTGGTTGTGCATGGAATGCTTCAGAAAAACACTGCAGAAACGTTTCCTCTCTCTTAAGTTGAAGGAATGAAATCTAAACAAAGTCAGGTGCCTCAAAACCAAGCAAGACATAGAATCAGACTATTCAAACAAAACTCTGACTTGTATCCATATTTCATTCTATATCTAACTAACTCGATAACGGCTCACTTAAATTCAGTACATGTCTGTGTCTTAGTTTGGGTTTTATTGCTGTGAACAGACACTGTGACAGAGGCAAGCCTTATAAGGACAACATTTAGTTGAGGCTGGCTTACAGGTTCAGAGGTTCAGTCCAGTATCGTCAAGATGGGAACATGACAGAGTCCAGGAAGGCATGATGCAGGAGAAGCTGAGTTCTACATCTTCATCTGAAGGCTGCTAGTAGAATAGTGGCTCCCAGGCAGCTAGGAAGAGGGTCTTAAAGCCCACACCCACAATGACACATCTCCTCCAACAAGGCCACACCTCCTCCAACAAGGCCACACCTCCTCCAACAAGGCCACACCTCCTCCAACAAGGCCGTACCTTTCCAGCACCAACTACCACCATGAGCCATTATTTTACTTACTGTTCCATGTAAGGGGGAGTTTTTCTTTAGTACAAGCGGGAAGAAAGGAAGATAAAGGACATAGATACCTGAGGCAGGGGAACTCCACGTTGTCACTCTCAGGCTGTCCCTCCTCTCTCACCAACACCCTGTCCAGGTACCAGCCGCTGCCCGAGCCTTTGCCGTCATGCCTGACCCTCACCCGCCTCACCTTCCTCATGGTGACAGACTCAATGGTAAACTCATCGGCCTTTGGGAAAGAAAAGACAGCAAGGTCATGTAGATGGTGGCTCCCCTGAGACCCAACACCAAGTGGGGACACACTCCAGACATCAGAAGGCAGAGCTGAGAGGATGAGCTACAGCTCTTGCATGGGTGCACACGCTACTGCAGGGAAGAAAAGTATAAAATACACTTAATGATCACAGATAGACCCAAGCTTACCTACGACCTCCTGCTCAGAAGAGCCTTACCAACACAGCCTTCAAGTGCTCATCCTTGGGTCGGCTCAGACAGTCCTCCACTTGTACCTCAAGGCTCACCTCTCCAGCACCAAGAAAGGGGTAAGTGGAAGGAGGAAGAGCGAAGACATCTACAAATCCCTGTCACCTATCAACTTTACATCACGGAAGCAATGACTCTTTACTGGGCATCTACTATGTGCTGTGGACCACATCTGACCCTGACACAGTCCACCATAGTCTTCACAATAGCCAGTTACAGGTAGGCATCCTTTCCTTCCTTTCAGATAAAAGTATGGCACAAGAGAGTGGAGTGGGTGGCCCAAGGCTGATTTTCCCTAGACCTTTTTGATAATTTCTGCACAGCTTTAGAGCCCTTTGTTCCACAGTAAACCCACTTGGTGGTAACATAGGGACATGCCTAACACATTGGCTAGCAATGGATCTCATTTCTCTCACCTCCATATTTAATGTTTTTCTTGGTTTCTTTAAATAAAAAGAAAAGATGCAAATAAGCTGCCTCTAGTGACTATGCCTAACAGAGAACATTCACTATCTTCCATTTTTTTTTTTCTGTCTGGGTTCTCTGAGACACTTTTGAGATGCTCAAATAGTCTTCCCAACCTGAGGTGTGGGTAGAAGACCACAATTTCTCTATGGTGGCTCTCTAGCTTCTAGCTGCCTAGCACTAGGAGCCTTGTAGCTGCCACCGATGTTAGCAAATGACAGTGAGCCAAATGCTTAAGTATACGATCAACCAGATACGTCTGTGCCTTTAAGTGGCTCCTACATGGGTTCCCCAGGCTCCACCCCCCTCATCCAGACAGATGTGATCTCATTGCTGAGGTCCCATCACCTGCCATCAGCTCTGCTTCAGAAGAACAGGGAAAATGGGAGAGAGCAGAGGAGGGTCCGGGGAGGGTGCACATCGAAACTCACGTTGCCTTTCTCGAACAGGTCAGTGTTATTCCTGCAGTTGTAAAGCAGCCGCTCCCCTGTGTCCCCCACATCACCAAAAAGGCAGAGGTAGACATTGGCGTCAGTTCCCGCACCTTCAAGTTCACCTGTGCATACAGTCACGCGATATCGGGCCACTGGCAGAGAGAGAGAGAAAGGGGGACACCAAAGGCTGGCTGCTGCGTTCTCATGCCTGAGCTTCCACATCCACATCCACTTCTTTACTGGGATGACTTTATCCCTTAACTCAAGTCCCCAGACCCCACTGCTCTGAGCCACTTGGGAGCTGACTCATGCCAAGCCTTGGCTTAGACAGGCTGGAGGTTCTTAATTCCCATCGACCATCAGAAACCTATGGGAAATGTTTACAAGAATTCAAATTCCTTAACAAAAAAACCCAGGATAGTGAAAACTACTCTCAGCAATAAAAGAACTTCTGGGGGAATCACCATCCCTTACTTCAAGCTGTAAGCTGGTAAAAACTGTGTGGTATTGGAACAGAGACAAGCAGGAGGATCAATGGAATAGAATAGAAGACCCAGAAATGAACCCCCATACCTATGGTCACTTGATCTTTGACAAGGGAGCTAAAACCATCCAGTGGAAAAAAGACAACATTTTCAACAAATGGTGCTGGTCCAACTGGAGGTCAGCATGTAGAAGAATGCAAATTGATCCATACTTATCTCCTTATACAAAGCTCAATTCCAAGTGGATCAAGGACCTCCACCTAAAACCAGCCACACTGAAACTAATAGAAGAGAAACTGGGGAAAAGCCTGGAACACATGGGCACAGGAGAAAAGTTCCTGAACAGAACACCAATGGCCTGTGCTCTAAGACCAAGAATTGACAAATGGGACCTCATAAAACTACAAAGCTTCTGTAAAGCAAAGGACACAGTCAATAGGACAAAGCGGCAACCAACAGACTGGGAAAAGATCTTCACCAACCCTACATCTGATAAAGGGCTAATATCCAAGGTATACAAAGAACTGAAGAAATTAGACTCTAGACAATCAAAGAACCCTATTAAAAAATGGAGCACAGAGCTGAACAAAGAATTCTCAACTGAGGAAGCTCGAATGGCTGAGAAGCACCTAAAGAAGTGTTCAGCATCCCTAGTCATCAGGGAAATGCAAATGAAAACAACACTGAGATTCCACCTCACACCAGTCAGAATGGCTAAGATCAAAAACACAGGTGACAGCACATGTTGGCGAGGATGTGGAGAAAGAGGAACACTCCTCCACTGTTGGTGGGATTGTAAACTGGTACAACCACTATGGAAAGCAGTCTGGCGGTATCTCAGAAAATTGAACATAGTGTTACCTGAGGACCCAGCTATACCACTCCTAGGCATATACCCAAAAGATGTTTTAACATACAACAGGGACACATGCTCCACCATGTTCATAGCAGCCTTATTTATAGTAGCCAGAAGTTGGAAAGAACCCAGATGCCCTTCAACAGAAGAATGGATGCAGAAAATGTGGTACATTTATACAATGGAGTACTACTCAGCTATTAAAAACAATGAGTTCATGAAATTCTTAGGCAAATGGATGGAGCTGGAAAATATCATCTTGAGTGAGGTGACCCAATCTCAAAAGAACGTACATGGTATGCACTCACTCACTGATAAGTGGATATTAGCCCAAAAGCTCACAATATCTAAGAAACAACGTATAGACCACATAAAACTCACATAGAAGAAGGAAGACCAAAGTGTGGATGCTTTGGTCCTTTCTAGAAGGAGTATCAAAAGTTTCAACCAGAGCTTCCAAAGTCTAAACCGCCAGCCAGAGAGCACAAAGGGAGGGACTCATGTCTCCACCTGTATAGGGAATTGAGGGTGACCTTGTCAGACTTCCAATGGAAGTGGAGGGCCATGGTCCCCGAAAGTTTGGATCCCCTACTGTTTGGGAATTCGAGAGCAGGGAGAAGGGACTGGGAGGATGTTTGGAGCAAACCCTCATAAAAATAGGAGGAGGGGGTATGAGATAAGGGGTTTTGGGGGAAAATGGGAGAGGAGATAACATTGAAAGGTAAATACATATACTATCCAATAAAAAAAAAACACACAGATAAAGGGTCAAAAAAAAGAGGGAGAGAGTTTACTTATTTTAAATTATTTTCAAAAGTTTCTAGGAGTTGCGAATTGGCTAAGATCATATTTAAGCTCTCCACAAAAGAATTTAAGTCTCTGTTCAATATTCTCAAGAGGGATGTAAATCCTAATTTTCCTCAACAATTAATTGACAAAAGAGAGGTAATCTCACAAAAAGTAGAAGAAGCTATTACTAATCGATATATTATATAGTCTGATTAGTTGTCAGCGGTGCTATAACAGTCCTTTGACAAAAGATTATTAATATAGGTTTATATATCCTTAAATAGGGTCTTCATGACTCTCTGAGTGTGGAAGGAGCGACTGTTGGCACTTCTGCCCTGATTTTACAAGAACTCTGAAAAATTGGCTTTAAAAACAAAAGAGGGGGAACAGTACGCCCCCCCAGAAGGAGTCCCCCTGAAATACTCTCCATCATGCCTTGTTCACTTTTATCTCTCTAAAGCTGAAAGCTCATGGCAAATCTGCTGCTGACTGTCTCTGGCACCACCGAGACCAACAAAACTTTGCCACAGATATGGGGAAGGACCCTCTTACCCTTAAAGGGAATGGCCCAGACCCAGTTCCCTTACGGGGCCGAGGATTGATATGCCTGTCTGATACCACAGAAGGCACAGCTAACTGGCTACCAAAAAGATTAATGAAATAAATAGATACCCCCACAAAGCCAGGCCCACCATAAATAAGATGAACAACAATTTACATACAGGGAAGAGAAATCACCCTGAGAATTCCCTTCTTTTTCCTTTCTAGGTAAAAATGAATCACCCGTGATGCCTGCTGTTAGAAGTTCTAATCCAGATGCTGGCCTCCGAACTTATACTACTCAGACCTTTGAAGGCCACTGACAAGAACATCAAACAGCTAGAGATTGACATCACTAATCCAAAGAAATCCCTCGTTTCACTGTCTGAAGAGACCTCCTAAAATCGTAAAGATCCTTATTGGACTTGATTTACTCTATTACAATAGAAAAGGCTGTGTACAGCTCTTGACTGTGTACAGCCCTCAAAGAAGAAGGTTGCCTTTACATAGACAAGACAAGGAGGGTTAAAGAGAGCATGAAATAGGTAGTGAAGGCCCTAAGAAAAATCAGAGAGAGAAAGAGACAGATGAATGCTGGTACAAAAATTGGTTTTCAGCCTCTCCAAGGTTGTCGACCCTATTTCCTCCCATCTTGGGACCATTATTTGGGTTCTTTTTGCTTATTTCTGCTGGTCCCTGGGTCTCAAATAGGCAGACTAACTCTGTGAAACAACAGATAAAAAAATTGTTAGCAAAACCTATTCAGATACATTAGCTATGGAGGATCACGAGACTCAAGATGAGGTTGTTTCTTTATACAGGGTGTTTCCAAAACCCATCTCCACCCAACCTAAAAGGGGAGACTTCTGCCCCTAGACCAAGCAGAGAGGGGCCACCCAGACCCCCCTCTGACTGGCGATCTGAATTCTTGCTTAGGCTTCGAGGCTAAGCACTGCAAGGGAATATAAATAAAAGATTAAAAATATCTCTCTGGGTTCCCTGAGGAACAAGCGTGACTGCATAGGGATTGTTGTCAAAAGTATCCCCTCTCCAGGAAAAAGACATCGGGATGGGTATGGCTCTCATGCCTCACTGGACAACGACAGGGGGACTGGAGCCATTATAAGGTCCCCTTCAAGTACTGGAGGTCAGGCCTCTATCCCCGCCTTTGCAAGTTTAGAATTGCCACAGCCCTTCTATACTTAGAGAAGGGAGGAGATGTCAGGGGCAGCCCTGCTTACACACTGAAGGCCTAAAATCAGCCATAGGCCTAAAATCACCAATAGGCCTGTCATACATGTATACTAACACCAAGTCTTGGATCTCAGTGGAAAAACATTGAAACAGATGGCTATAAGCTAATGTAAACAGGCAGCTTTTGTGGAAATTTACCAGCTTGAGTAGTCATAGACCTTGTAAATAGGTAGCCTTGGCAGACAATACCAACTTAGATAAGGACAAGCAAGTCACAGGCAGAGTCATAGTGACTTGTCCCCTGAACCTTCACCCAGCCGATACCCGGTTCTGAAAGATATCTGTACTCCCCCTGAACACCCACACTCCAGTGTCATACCCTTCCCCACATCCTGCCTTTCTGTGTTTATAACCCCTGTGTGAATGAATTACGATTTGAGAAAAAATAAATTATTTTTTTAAAAAAAGGTAGAAATAGTATTTATATTTGATGGATTCAAAGGCCTGCTGTGTGGCCGAGGATGGCACCAGGCATAAAGTTGAACTAGATTTCACTTCTGAATAAAGGAATTTCACTAGTACAAAAAAAAAAAAAAAAAAAAAAAAGAATTCGCATTCCTGAGGCCCACTGCAGACTTCCCAAACCTTAGTTTCCAGAGGTAAGACCCTTGAAACCGACTTATTCGTGAACAGCTTCTGTGAATTCTGATGGAGAGAAAAGAGTGGCACCTAGAAACGAGGTTCAGTAGAAATGGGGAGAAGACAACAGATGGGGGACGTAACTTAGGGGCGGTTCTTCTTGCTGGTGGACCATGTAGATAATCAAGAGAAAGAGAGAGATCAGGTTTTATTTGGGGAGAGATGCTAATAAGGATAGAAGAGCCGGGGTAAGGAACGGAAATCAAGGTTCCGGTCACCGTACAACTGAGATACCAGTTAGATATTTTTTTAAAAAGCAGTCAAGAAGAAAGCTAAATATGCCTGGAGGGCCAGGTCTGGTGATATGACCTGAGTCATCACAGGTAGGTGTATTCCATTTCCAGCCACACAGTCTGGTAAGGGTCATGATGATAAAAATGTAGACAGAGACTGAAAGAATATTTGAAGATAAAATGGTTCCCCAAACTCCCCGGATTTGAGTTAAAAATATCAATCTACATGTTTGACATTTTATAGAAAATGAACTCTGAGTAGGAAAACTCCAAAGAGATCTAATTCTAAACACATCATAATAAAATGTCTAAGAGCTGAAGACAAAGAGGAAGTCTTCAAAGGAAGCAACAGGAAA